GACTCGGCTGAGTCACCCGGGGCTTCCCGGCGCCTGCTCGGTGAGGACACCCACTTCCTTTATCGTTCAAGGGGAATTCTCAGAAACGATGTCACCAACATATAGCCCCCCGTTCTGTTAAATGCACTGAAGTTCTCGGATTCAGATGGACTTCTCATGAGACTTTTCACTTAGGTCTGCCCACCATTGTTAGGGTTGGTTTGGGATGTGGCTTCTCAGCATGAACACGGTGTGGGTCAGATCGCCACGTGTGGAACCACTGAGGTCGACCCTGACTCTGCAGACATGATGCTGTCATGGGCTTGGAGGAGGGGAGCTGGGTTCCGGGCCAGGCCTGCGCCAGGGGGCCCAGGCCGGAGCCTTCTCTGCGGCCCCACGGGGCTGAGCTGCCTGCCCTCCCGACTCCTCGTGATGATGGAGCATCTGAGGCCGGGGGACACCAGATGCACGACTGGATGCAACTCCATGGCGGCGGCCTGGGCGGGGCCAGAGCAAACCCCTCCCCCCTCCCCTCCAGCCTTTCGAGTCTCTGCTTTGCTTCCCTCCTGCATGCACGCCTGCCAGGGGACGCTTTGCTGGATGAGCGCCATCGGTGGCCTCAGTCTGCAGGTCTAGCTTCTTCCTCCCTTCTTGCTGCGTGTGTCATGTTCAGCGACACGGCGTCTTCCCTCTGTCCCTTCCTTCTGTAGCCAGAGTGTACAGGCGGGGCCGCCTCTGGACAGGCTGTTATTGAGAAGTTACGGGAAGAAAACCGACTGTTACGACAGAAGGTGACTCATGTGAGTATCTGTGCCATTTTGTTCAACGGCAGGGGAGGGTCCTACCCTCTCTGTGGTGCTCAGGGCTTGTGTCCCCCTCGGGCCACTTGGGTTGACACACACACAGCCCCCAGAGACCTGCCTTTCTGCCTGAGAGTGCAGAGAATGCGCCCTGTCCTGCTCTGTCCCCCAGGTCAACTCGTAGGTCGAGAAAGGAGGTGCAGGAGTTTCAGGTACAGCTTTTAAGGCAGGAGAATGGCACCGAGTCCACTTCGGTGGAAGCCAGTGGCCCGTGGATGTCCTCACGGCGCCTCGGGTGCATCTGGCAGTCTCAGTGTCCCCTCTGGACAGAGCAGGGTGAGGCAACGGCAGTGACGGGCAAGGACTCCGCAGCTGATTGCTGCTAACAGAGAGCTTCCTGGCCTCGGCCACCGTCACCCAGAGCTCTGTGGCTGCGTCCCCTCAGGTGGAAGACCTCAATGCCAAGTGGCAGCGTTACGACGCCAGCAGGGACGAGTATGTGAGGGGGCTCCACGCGCAGCTGCAGGGGCTGCAGGCCCCCCCTGAGCCTGAGAGGTCCTCCTGCCCCGAGCTGATGAGGAAGGAGATTTCCAGGCTCAACCGGCAGCTGGAGGAGAAGATAGGCGTGTGTGCGGCCGTGAGGCGGGAGCTGGCGGCCGTGAGGGGGGCCCACGACGCGGCGCTGGAGCGGGTGCAGATGCTGGAGCAGCAGGTGGCGCTTGGGGCTCCGGGCGGCCGTGGCGGGGAGTCTGCCTCCTTCCCGAGTGACAGCCGAGCGTCTCGCCTCCTTTCAGATTCTCGCTTACAAGGATGATTTCACCTCAGAAAGGGCAGACCGAGAACGGGCCCAGAGCAGGATTCAGGAGCTCGAGGAAGAGGTGGCTTCCTTGCGGCAACAGGCGTCCTGGACACAGGTAGGGTCCCAGGGCTTTGCTCCTCGTTTAGGCTCAGCGTTTCTCTCGTTTTTCTTTTCCTGAATTTTGAGTGTCGGCCCGAGACACTTGTCACGGCCCAAGCCCGTTGGCCCGCTTGGGTCAGAGCCGCCTTGCCTGGCGCCCGGGGCACGGTGGCGGGAGCCGTCTGTCGCAGTGGTGTGACAGAGGAGGTGGCTGTCCACGGGGCCCGTCCTGGGCTCCAGGCCCCCTACCAGGCCTTCCTGCCTACACGTCGCCTCCTTGCTGTGAGGCGGGGACCCTGGTTACCCCATTCCGCAGACCTGGACACCGAGGCCCCAGGTGTTCAGTGACGTCCCCCAACTCATGGTCCGTGTGTGGGGAGATGTGCCTTATGGGCCAGTGGGCCCTCCACCCCCCTGGGGAGGCCTGGCAGGTGTCAGAATTGACAAAGTCTCTCACTGCGGGACCCCTGGCACCCACCTGCCTCTTCCCCTCTCTGCCCTGCGGACACCCCAGGAAAGCTTAGTTTCTTTAGCCCCTCAGCAAGTACCCAGCACACCTCTGGCCCTGCAGGGAACCCTGGGCCCCTCAAAGAACTTCCGTTCGGACAGAGCCTGGGCAGTAGTGGGGCTCGACGTACCGGGCGGAGCAGGGACGCTGAGTGGACCTCGGAGCTGCCCCTTCGGGTTGGCTCCTGGGCCGGGGGAGCTGCCCGCGCTGCCCTGTGGTGTGGCCGCTGCGGTTGTCGGTGGCTTGTGCGTTCCCCGCTGCGGGAGGGGTGCAGGGAGTCATGGGGGACACACTCTCAGACTGAGTCCGTGGCCGTGGGCCTGGACGGAGCATTGTGGGGAAGTGGGTGGGGACCGTGGCTGGGGTCTGCCCCCCGCGAGTCTGCAGGCCAACGGGGAGATGCCAGAGGGCCTCACCAGCTCCGGCAGCCTTCTCGGCCTCCATCAGGAGTTCCTGCTTCTCTTCAGGCCCTGGGACTACAGGCTTTGGCTCAGGACCCTCCCACGTGGCCGGCGGGGACAGGGCGTCCTCCGGCACAGCTAGCTGCGTGTGGTCTTGCCGCGATGGGGCTTGGCCTGTGGGTTTTCTCGGGGAAGCATGTGCTCTTGGGTTGAAAGGCCGTTCAGGATGTGGTCCTCCGCAGCCTCTCCACGACTCAGGGCCAAGAGGAGTGACCAGAACCGGCTCCAGGTCTGCTGGAGCCTGAGCCTCTGTATCCGCCGCCGCCGCCGCCTGCGGCCCCTCGAGCGGTGGGCAGCACTCGCTCTGGTGCCCAGTGCCTGGATGGCCCTGGGGCAGGGTGCTGAAGGTGTGGCCAGTGAGCCGAAGTTCCTGAGCAGTAGTGAGGAGCGTGGCAGGCCACGGCTCACACACGACCGCTGTCTGGGGGACCCCTGCTGCCTCGGGGGGCTCCCAAGTGCCCCGGACCCTGGGCCTCGCAGAGACGGTGCAGAACGGGGCCGAGGCACAGGTTGCCCGGCTCTCCGCCCTGAGCTTTGCCAGCCCCCCTCCACTGAGGTGTCCGGGCAGGTCTCTAGGGCCGAGGGGCCGCTCAGGCCTTTCTGCCCAGGGGTGGGGGTGCGCCCCGCTCGACCCTGTCCCTCCCCGAGCACACGCAGCGGTGTCTGTGTGCCCGCTTCGCTTCTGTATGGAGCACTGCCGCGTTTGGGCTCTGGGCTACTCCAGGAAGCAGGGTGAGGGGGGTGAGTCTCACTCAAGGATAGAAGAAATCTCTCAAGTGATTTTGTGGTCTCCAGGGCAGCCCACGTAAACTGACCTTGGCCTTTTTTCCAGGACCGCCGCGAGCCAGGCTCCTGCCGGATTCACATGGGAAACAGAACCTCCAAGTACTTAGAGACGGATGCTTTGGAGCTCGTGGCACCCAGTGGCCGGAGGGCGGGGACTGGATCTCAGGGGCTGGACTCCCCCGCCGAGGGCAGAGCGACCCGGAGAGGGCAGGGGGACCTTCAGTGCCCTCACTGCCTGCGGTGCTTCGGTGACGAGCAAGGCGAGGAGCTCTTCAGGCATGTGGCTGAGTGCTGCCAGTGAGCCCCGTGGCCGGGAGAGGGAGAGTGTCCTCGAGGTCTGGGGCCCAGAACAGGCTGAGGGGGCTTCGGATCCTTCACCTTGGTCCTCCTTGGGCGATGGAACAGACCAGGTCAGAGGGAACCTCCCGTGGGGCATCTGCTCCTGGGAGGGAGTGTGGCCCCCCAGCTGCCAGGCTGAGAGGCTGGGAGCAACCGGGTGCAGGGATCCAGGCCAATAGCCCCCCGACCCCGGGCGTGCCGCAGCTGCTAGAAAAAGCAGGCTGCCTGTGGGGACCCACACGTGTGGGCCCCAGGGTGAAAGGCCTGCCTTGTTCTGTTGAGTAAGGACCAGGAGGTCTGCAGAACTGAGCGCTCTGGCAGCACCTGGGGGCCGGCCTCCGCCACCGCAGAGCCGTGTGTCTGCACTGAAATGTACCGCAGTAGCCTTTGGCACGTATCTGAAAGTCAAGAGACATTTCGCGTGCACTATTTTCATAATAAATGTACTTATTCTGGTGACCGCTCTGGGAATGCATCCTGGGGGCTTGGGTGCAGGAACCGGTAGTATTTCCAGTCGGGCCGGACTTAGACCAGCCAGTGAGGAGAAATACTCCCTTGTCTGCCACGCGCCAAGGGACCGAGATGGACTGGCTGGAGTCCAGCCAGGCCTGCCTGTCGGGGGGACCATGTGACCTGGCGCCCACCCAGCTTTGCCTTTGGGCAATTTCAGCCCCAGCCCAGGATGTGAAGTTGGGGCTGGAAACAAGGAGAGGAAGCAGGTGCCTGCTGAGAGCACAGCAGAGCCAGAGAGAGCAAGGTGTGGCTGCGGAGGGCCCGCCAGTAGAGCAGGGGACAGGAAGGAGAAGGCAGGAGGGGAGACTGAGGCGCTGTGCTAAGTGTTTGCCAGGGTCACTCATTTAACCCTTCTAGCAATTCCAGGATGCACACGTTAGATCATCCTCAACACAGACGAGGAAAATGCACAGAGGGGTTAATTCACTTGCCCAAGGTCACACAGTGGCTGAATGACAAAGCTGGGATTTGAACCCGTGTTCTTAATTGCACATTCTGTACTTCTTCCTGGAACTCACCCTTCCATGTGGTTCAGTCCTCCTCAAGTCCGAGTTCAGGTGTTGCCTCCTCCGGGGACTCCCTGCGTACCCCTTTCTGCCGGAGTCTGGCTGGAAGGGACCCGGCCTGTGTGGCATGGGGTGGGTAGGCTACAGCAGAAAAGCCTCAGTCGGAGTTGGAAGAGTTTGTGGACATCTGAACACTGGAAAGAGAGGATGGGGACATCCCAGAGAGAAGGTAGCCACAAAAGGGGGAACCCTCACATCCTTGGCTGACCCCCAAATTGTGCATGCTTCGAGCAAGACCCCAATGATTCTGGGGTGAGAAGAGCAGATGGAAAACAGAGCTTAGCAGGCATCCCCATGGCTGAGTATTACAGGGTAACAGCTTTGAATCTGGGTCCCTCAAGGTTAGAAGGGCTTAGTAAACACTTCAGGTTTTCCTTTGAAACCCTAGAAGGGCCAGGCCTCAAGAGTAAAGTTGACATCCTGGGACAAAATGGAAATAGCCCTTGCTCTAAAAAGGCATACGAGTCCCAGGTAATCAACCAACAAATCACCTGCCTATTGGAACAAGAATCAACTTTTTTTTAGAGACGGGCAGAATCTCAGACCTTACACTGTACTAACCACAAATGCAATATGCAAGAGAAAATACTAGACGGGCACCTGGCTGGCTCAGTCGGTAGAGCATACAACTCCCGATCTCGGGGTTGTGAGTTTAAGCTTAAAAATAAAATCTTAAGAAAAAAAAAAAATTAGATGTAGGAAAAATAAAGGCAGCATGAAGGTGTTTTCAGATAAATACAAGGTAATGATATTTATATCCAACAGACTCTACTACAAGAAATTTGTACTATAGAAATTATTCCAGCTGAAGGGAAGTGATTCTGGATAAAAACAAATATAGAAAGGAGTGAAGAAGATGGGCGTGGATAGATAAGGATTACTGACTAAGTCCTTTTGAGGGCTTTAAAACATGCAAACATGTGGCCACGAGAGCTTTCTAGGTGTGTGTGTGTGGGGAGTATTTAATGAACTTACACAGGAGTTTTTGCATTGATTTAAGGTGGACTGTAATTCAGTAGGGAAGCATAATTTCTAGAGTAACCACTAAAATAGTAATACAAATATTTAACTAAAAAGTGAACAATGTTTTTATTAATCCAAAGCAAGACAAGTTAGGAAAACTAAAGGAATAAGGAAGAGATGAGACACACAGAAAATAGATGGCAAGATGGTATACTTAAACCCAACTCTATCAGTAATTAACTTAAAGATAAGGGGATCAAATACTGACCGAAAGATCATGATTATCAGCCTGGGTGAAAATAAACTCTCACGTATGTGCTCGTTAGCAGAGGCATACTTTAAATATAAAAACAGAGAAAAGGATAGAAAAAGACACACCCTGTCAACACTGGCCAAGATAATGAGGGAGTGGATGAAGCCATGAATGACATGGTTTCAAAATATATAAATGAAAAGGAGACCTGGATAAATGCACAATCATAGCTGAAGATTTTAACACACCTCTCAGAGAAGAGCAGGGATACTAAAGATTTAACCAAAATACTTAACCAATTTGGCCTCCTTTGCATATGGCAAACATTACACCCAACAAAAGCCAACTAGAATTCTTCTCAGCTCTACGTGGAACACTTACCAACAGAGACAAATCTGTGGGGCATAAATCAAGTCACAACATATTCCAAAGAACCGAATCACTGAACTTATGTTCTCTGACCGTGGTGAGATTAAACCACAACTCAGTAACAGATAAATCCAAATTCTCAACACACTTCTAAGTGGTCTGTGGGCAAAGGAAAAAACACAATGGAAATGAGAAAATACTTTGAACTGAGTGAAAATGAGGTTAAAATTCAGTGATCTGAGTGCCCATCTCAAGAGCTAGGAGAAGAACTGCATATTAAACTCAAAGGAAAGGACAGAATATAAGAGCAGAAATCAATGAGATAGAAAACAGAAAAATCAACAAAGCCAAGAGTTCTTTCAAATGGCACCACCACCAACAAACCAGTAACAAGACTCATGAGGAAAAGACAGGGGACAAATTGCTGATAAGCAGGAATGAAAAGGGGGACATCACTATGGATCTCTAAGAGGACTACTATGAACACTTTAAGCTAATAAATCTGACAGATGAAACGGATAAAATCCTTGAAAAATACAACTTAACCAAAACAGATACAAGAAGAAAGAGAAAACCTGAGTAGCTCTGTAGCCATTAAGTAAACAATCTGTAATTAAGAGTATTTTCACAAAGAAAATTATAGGCCCAGATGACTTCACTGGTGAATTCTTCCAAACATCTGAGAAAGATATACCAATCTTACATACACTCAGCAAATAGAAGGAATGTTCCCCAACTCATTTTTATGACACCAAAACCTGAGAAAAACAAGAAAATGACAAATCTCTCTCATGAACACAGATGCAAACATCCTAAACAAAATATAAACAAATTCAATTAGATATAAAAAGGATAATAAGTCATAGACAAGTAGAATTTACAAGTAGAATTTTAATTAGAGATACAGATTGACTATTAAAAAAAAAAGCACTAGGGCGCTGGGTGGCTCAGTCGGTTAAGCGTCTGCCTTCGGCTCAGGTCATTATCCTCGGGTCCTGCAATCTAGCCCCATGTTGGGCTCTCTGCTCAGTGGGGAGTCTGCTTCTCCCTCTGCCCCTCCCCCTGCTTGTGCTGTCAAATAAATAAAATCTTTAAGAAAAAAAAAAAAACCACTAATGTAATTCACTAGAATAACAGAAAAAACATGATCATCTCAATAGAAGCAGAAAAAGTATGTAACAAAATTTAATGTCCACTCATGAAAACACACTCAGCAAACTAGGAATAGAAGGCATTTCCTCAATCTGATAAAGATATATGTCCGAAACCCTACACCTAACATTCTACCTGGTGACAAATACTGAATGCTGTCTGTGCCTGCTCAGGTTTACATCAAGGCAAGGGCACTCACTCTTACCACTGCAATTCCACATTGTACCGGAGGGTCTACCTAGTGCAGTAAGCTAATAAAAGGAATAAAGAACAGAAAAATTAGAAGAAATTGTCCTTATTTGCAGATGACGTGATTATACATGTAAAAAATCCTAGGTGATCTTGAAGTTGAAAATTTGTAAATCATTTTGACAATCTCAAGGTACAAAGTTCAATATATGAAAAATCGACCATATGCTATATATATTTGCAACAACTGGAGAAATGAATTTAAAAACCTGTTTCCCCAGGGGCGCCTGGGTGGCTCAGTTGGTTAAGCAACTGCCTTCGGCTCAGGTCATGATCCTGGAGTCCCGGGATCGAGTCCCACATCGGGCTCCCTGCTCGGCGGGGGGTCTGCTTCTCCCTCTGACCCTCCCCCCTCTCATGCTCTCTCTCTCTATCTCATTCTCTCTCTCAAATAAATTAAAAAAAAAAACAAAACCTGTTTCCCCAAAAGATGTTAAGTCCTAACCCCTAGAACCTGTGAATGTGACCTTAACTTGGAAATATGGTCTTTGCAGATTCATATGAGATAATGTTGTGCTGGATGAGGGTGGGCCCTACCCAATATGACTGGCGTCCTCTTTTAAGAGACATGGGGTGCCGGCTGGCTCAGTTGGTGGAGCAGGCAGCTCTTGATCTTGGGGTTGTGAGTTTGAGCCCCACGTTGGGGTGTAATTACTTAAAAATAAAATCTTAAAAAAAACAGAGACACACAGACACAGGGAAGAGGCCATGTGAAGACAGGAAGAGAGACTGGAGGGACACCTCTATAAGCCAAGGACTGCTACGAGGAGCCAGGAGGGAGGCATGGAACAGATGGTTCTTCACCTCTAGAAGGAACCAATCTTGTGGATACCCGTGTTTTGGGGCATATATCCTCCCAGGGATTTTGCGTTATATCCTCCAGGACTGTGAGAGAATAAATTTCTGTTGTGAGAAGCCACCCAGTTTATGGTACTTTGTTATGAGAGCTCCAGGAAACTAAAGCATAACCCTGTTTACGATGTCAAAAACCTAAAATGCTTAGAAAACATTTATCAGAAGCATGCAGAATCTCTACAATAAAAGCTACAAAATAACTGCTGAAATTCAAGAACATGTAAATGAAGAGAAATCACATCTGCAAACTGGGAACTCTAGTCTCAAGCTGTCACTTCGTCCCAAATTGATCTACAGGCTCAACACAGCCTCATCCATATCCCAGCAAGCTTGTGACAAGCTCATTTTATATATTTTTTTGTGCCCCACTTCCGCAGGACTCCAGTTGCATGTATGTTGAACTGCTTGATACCGTCCCACAGGTTACCATTTTCCATTCTCTCTTCTCTCAGTGCTTCTTTCTGGTAGTTTCTGTTCTGATGCCATCAAGTTCGTGGTGTTTCCTCAGAGGTTTCAGATCTGCTGTTAATTCTATCCAGGGTATTTTTCCATTTCGGATGATGTATTTTTTCTTTAGAACTTCACTTAGGTCTTTTTTGGATCTTTCATTTCGTCCTTCATCTTGTTCATGATTTCTCTTACATCTTGAGCATATTTTTAAGACTTACATTAGCCATTTTAAGGTCCCTGTCTGCAAATTCACCAACTGTCATTTTGGGGTCTATTGTTTGTTTAGTATTTCTCCTGATTACGGTTTATATTTTCCTTCCTCTTGGCATGGCCTGGTAATTTCTGCTTGGATTCCAACATTGTGAATTTTGTTTAGTGTGGGATATTTTTGTATTCTTTTAAAGAACGTTGGACTTTGTCCTAGCAGGCAGTTAAGATACTTAGGATCAGTGTGATCCTCCTGAGGCTTGCTTTTTAGATTTTACTCTAGAGCTAATTTAACCCCCCTGCTAAGGTCACAGCTTTCTGAGGACTCTACGCTGGTGTCTGCAGCGTGTATTAGAAGGTTCTCCACTGTGGCTGGTGCAAACACTACTCCAGCCGTTCTGCTTTCTGGTGATTTTCCCTTGGGCTCCTGGAAGTTCATGCCACACCTGCAACATCAGTAGATTGTAGGGGACTCTGCAGACCCCCACAGCCCCTTATGTGCAGCCCCTCCTGTCTGGAACCCTGCCCCACAAATTCGAGCCACCTTGACCTCTCCAAATGCCAATCTCTGCTTGCTCTACTCAGCAGGCCTGCTGGGCTCTGGGCTCTGCAGCCCCCAGCCCGTGCTGGGCCTGGAAACTGCCTCCACGCTGGAAGCTGGGGCGCCAAGAGGCTTACCTGGTTTCCTCCCCTTCGCTCAGAAAACACTGCCATGTGCTGTGTCTCTTCCAACAGCCAAAAGCATTGTTTAAACACCTTCCCCGGTTTTACAGTTGTGTGTGGCAGGGGGACAGTCTCCGTGGCAGTTCATCCTTCACGGGGGCCACCGGCGCACGTTTCGGACTCTTCCTCTTAACCTACCTCGTCCTCCCCACGGAAGAGCATCTGGAGGGCTCCCGGGTACGGCAGGCTCCCGGTGGCACATGGTTGGTTTCAAGCGTGAGTTCTTAACAGTTCGGAACCGCATGGGAGGTCTTCGTGCGCCTCGCCTCCCACCCCTCGGTGCTTATGCTTACGTTTTAATAGTGGGTCCAGGACAGACGATTTCGCCTGTCGCTGTGAAGACGAAGAACCAGGACTCAAGTTACTTCAATTCTAGTCATTCTGTGGGTGACCGAGAGCTCTTATTGGTGTTTCAAACAGGAACAGTGGGACATGTAAGTTTCTTTTCCTTTAATATTAATGAAATTAAGAAACGTTCATCCTTTCTGGTACCGTAATACTCCTTTTGATAATATTTTGGTTTAATAGCATGAGTATGTAGACAAAGTTCAATAAAAGGACCTTTTTACTGTTTCTTTTCTAGCCATGGTTATTTTATTTCATCTCATGATTGCCGTTACCGTGTAAAGGAGGTGATACTCCAGCGTGGTCTATGTGAGGCTCCCCCAGGGGTCGGCGCCCAGGTCTAGGACCCGTGAAGACAGGAGCACTGGAGCTGGATGTCCCGCAGAAGCACCCTGGGCCTTGGTTTCCCCACCTGTAAATGCAGTGTCTGGGCATGAGGACACACGGTAGCAAGTCTCCAGGCCTGGGCCTGCCTCCGTGGGCATGGGAGGGGCTGCACTAGGGAGGCCCTGCAGCCTTGACCTTCCACCTCCCCCACCCCTGGACTCTGGCCTCGGCCTCCCAGGCCCCAGATGCATCTTCAGAGAACTGGGAATGGTAAAGTGACGCCCCCCTCTTGGGGAAAGAGTCAAAGGAACAGCAGGGGCGGAAGGGGGCAGGTGGGGCCACCTCAGGAGTGGGCACCCAGGGGTTCCCCTCACCACTCCTGGCCCTGACAAGGTCCTGCTCATGTCACAGGTGGGACCCTGCGGTTCCTCAGCACCCAGTGTGGCGCCCCAGGACAGATGGAACCGGAGGCTCAGAGGTGGAAGTGCCCCCGACACGACCTCAGGACTGCCCCCGGGGAGAAGAGGACGGGGCAGGGGCCTAGGCAGGCAGCTTCCCCGGAGAGCAGGCTCCCCGCCCCCCGGACCCTTCCCAGCATTTGCTGCACTGACCCAGTTGAGGCTCCCCTTTGCCCTCACCGGGCGGGGTGGAGGCCCAGGCCTGGGCTTGGGAGTCCTGGAGGCACATCAGGGCCTTTCGAGGACACGGCTCCTGCTGCGGTCACTGCCCAGCCCGTTCCTCGCTTTGCAGGGTCATCCCACGAGCAAAGCGGTACGCTTGTTCTTCCCACCTAGTTAGAAAAAAAGCAAAACAAGCCAGCCAGCCTCTTGCCCCATCTCCTATTCCCAGGACCTGCCGTTCCCACCCTTGTTTTCCTGCAAACCAGCTCCCACTGGGCTGTGGTCAAGGTCACCTCAGTGTAAGAGCCCTGGGCCATTCCTTGGACCACACCTTGGCCAGAGCAGCCCGCCATGGCCAGTCTCTCCCCACCTGTGTCCTCCAGGCTGCCCTCCTCCTCCCACCCTGGACACTGGTTCTAGGGCCTGGACCCCCGACCTGTCCACACTTGCTCCAGGGTGGCCTTCTGTCCACGAACAGCAATTCCCAACGCCAAACATCTCACCTGGGGGGGTCTGATGGGCACCTCAGACTTGACCCCTGCTCCAGGGCGGGCAGCCCCCTCCTGCCCGGGGCTCAGACCAAAGCCCGGGAGTCCCTCTTGCCTCCTCTCACTTCTACCTGCATCCCGTCCGTCCAGAAGTGCTGTGGACGGAACCGGCAGAATGTTTCCAGAGGCCGTTTCCTCTCGCCCTGTCTCCACACGGAAGCGGGGACACGCCGCACCCCCACGGCTGCACACAGGCAGGTTTCCCGAGAGGCGGGAGCAGTGCGGCTCCGCAGTGCTCTGGGAAGTGGGTGGGAGCAGGGCGGCAGCCAGGAGGCGGCTCCACCGGGGACTCCCGCAAACGGCCTGCAGAGGCCGCAGACGGAAGGAACCCAGGCAGCATTCCCACTCTCATCCTAAATACTCCCGTGTTGCGCCTCGTTTACACCCAACTGAACACCCGGGACTCTTCATGGTCTCGTTAGAGATCACCGCCCCCTCCCCCCGCCCCCCGGACAGGCACCTGCCCATAGGGCTCTGTGTAGTCCCAGCCTGCTGACCCTCCGGCCCACATGGCTCTGCGTCCCCTGCCCCGTAGGTCAGAAGGCGGGGACCCCTGCTCCGCCTCCACCCCGCCGCTGCTGCTTGGTGTTACCACTGCTCTCTCCCCAAACCCTCTGAGCGTCGGGCCGGGCTCTGTCCTGGGCCTGGCCCTGCCTGGCACGCGGAAGGCCCCGGATACACTGCTGCGTGGAGGATGTGGGGGTGCCAGGACCCCTCAACTGCTGCCAGGGGTGACCCGGGAGATGCTCCAAGGCTGGTGGCCCAGGTTCCCCTCGGGGGGCACTGCCCCCCACTCGCCCCGTGCCCTGCCCCCGGCACCACACCGCCCCCAGCAGAAAGCAACCAGACGAGGTCTTCTGCTGTACTAATGTATTCCATCTTTCAAAAAGAAAGACATGATTTTAATATTACTTAACAATATGTTAAAAAAGTAGCCAGGCAGGCCTCCGTGTTAATACAGTCGTACACTCTCTAACAGACTTGATGGTGTGAGTACTGGGTGGGGTTCTGTTTTTGAACTTTCTCATTCTGCAAGGGGTCTTACACAAGCTGGCTACAAGTCAGGGGTTCGGACACAAACAGCGCAACGTGTACACTCTGAGACAGGAGGTTGTGCAGGAGAACGGAAGAGCGCCTGCCCGCCTGGCCCGCCTCGGTGGGGTGCAGGGCACACGAGAGCTGCGTGACGGCAGTGCCCCGGCGGGGACAGACGACAGGACAGGGCGAGATGCAGAGGCAACGGCCACGTGGATGATGAAACGCGTCTCTGGCCACGACCCAGGCTCCGGGCTGCGCGGCGGCGAACCGGCGGGAGCTACTGTTCCAATCCGACAGCACAGCGCTGGCCTCAGCGCCTCACTCACAGACACACGCACACGAGCTACCGGCGCGGGCCGAGCAGCGAGTCCTCGGTCTGGGGGTCTCAGGTGCGGCGGCCCACCCGGCCCAGCCCTGGGCAAGCACAGCAGCTCCGGGGCCTGGCCCACCTCCCGCGCGTCCCTCTCCAGGCGGTCCTCATTCAGTGGGCAGCAAAAGTGGCTTTTTTCAAGCTAAAATTGGACCAGTTGATGGACAGTCTTTGTCGGGTCTGTCTAGCGGAATCCAGACAGAATCTGTGAAGACAAAGAGCCAAACAGTCAGCGAAGGAACAGCCCACATGCGAGCTGGTGTCGGCAAAGCCTGGTGTCCTCCGGGGGGGTGGGGGGGCCCCCTCAGTGTGCCAGGCCCGGCGACAAGGTCCCCTCCACACCTGGCCACCCTTCAGAGCGGGGAAAGGCCCTCGGGAGGACAGGGACCCCCTTCTTCAGGACACTGGCCAGCACCCTCAATGTCCTCTGGTGTCCTGTGTCCTTCTTAGCTGCCCAAAGGAAGTTTCTGATGAGCCCATCTGAGAACGTGCCAATGGCCACCACCCACCCTTCTCCACGTGTTAAGCCGTGGAGATCCCCTCTGCCCTCATTTATCCACGGACGCACGCGTGAGTGTGATATGGAACGGGACCTGGCACGGTGAGACTCGGCCACGGTGCTGCCCGCCGCCCCCAGGTCTCCAAGGCAGGCCTCCAGCCCTGGAGCCCAGCTCTGCTTCACCCCTGCACGCCCAACAGTGTTTGAAAAACACCACCTTCTGCTACCTGCTTCCCAGGCAATAGTGGGTGATTCTGTATTAAATGAGGAACACTTCCTTTCAACCGCCTATACTTCGCATAATTTCTGAAGTTCTCACCTGTCCAGCTCTCATGTGAGCAGCAACTTGAATTAAGCCTGAAAATGGTTACTGCTGTCACCCAGCCAGAAGCTGAAATATGTTCGTTTACATGGCCGTTCAATCGCCCACAATTTCTTGTGCTGCCTGCCGGGCGGTCTGTGTCCGTCCCCGCCCTGCTCCCAAGAATCCAGCCTCTCCTTCCCTGGCCACAGTTGGTCAAACCCCGAGTCCTAGTGGCGTCACCTTTTCAAGCTTCGGGAACTCCCCCCTCTGCCTCCCCCGCCCCCCTTGCTCTGGCGGTAGCTCCCAGGGGTCCCCAGCAGGCCACACCCCCCCGCGTCTCTCCACTCGCGTGGCTGGAACGCCCACAGGTGGCTCCGAGCCGATGGAAGCAAGGCTCCCAGCGGCTCCCCCACCAGCGGCTCCCCCAGCACAGGGCCCAGGCCCCCAGCCGCCGGCTCTGCCTCCTTCCCAAACCCCTGGCTCCCCTGCACCCGACGCTTCAACACCCCCTGCCCATCAGGCCTCCGTGTGGTCCTCTGTGGACCGTGTCACACACGCTGTGGACGTGCACCCAGGGGACTGGGACCAAGCCTGGGTCGCCACAGCCCCCCAGCCCAGGTCCGAAAGCCCGACCCCGCCGACCCCGCGGCACCTCGCTGTCCTCTCCCGGGAGGCAGCCCGCACCCTGGCGACTGTGACCATCGCCCCACGATCTCGCAGCCCCTCGCCCGTGTTTGCGTGTGAGGATTTCTGAACCTACAGGAACAGAATTGTCCTGTATTTTTTTCTTACTGCTCGCATTCAACACTATGTTGTGCGATTCCTCCACAAGGCCGCGGGGTGCTCGTTTCCAAGGCTCCAAGAGCTCACCCCGCGGAACGGACAGACAAGCGGACGTCGCTGCTCACGCGCGTCGGGAGCGCGGGGCTCCGTGCAACGGCCAGCTTCGACTTGACCCAATTCCGCCAAACTTCCCCATGGTCGCTGGAGCCACTCTGTGTCCCCCCCGGAGGGTGGGGGAGCCGCTGCCCCTGTGCGCCCAGCTCCCCATCAGGCGGGAGGCCTCTCCACAGGCCCATGGTCACAGTTTTCTGGGACAGCACATCTGTCCACGCTGTTTGTTTTTTCCTGCTCTGTCATGTTTATCCGTTCCGATACCAACCCTTCGTGAGGTGCTGCGCACACGGTCTCCTCACTTTCTTTAAAGAATTGTTGATTTTAATGTCATTTATCAATCTTTTATTTTATGGTTGGTGTTTTTAAGAATCTTTCCCTACTCTGAGGTCAAAAAGATACTCACCTGTATTCCAAATCAAAAGGTTTGCTTTTGACATTTAGAATCTTGACTCATCTAGAGCTGACCTTTGGGTAGGATATGGGGGGCAGATCCAATTTAAAAGTTTTTCTTACATAAACTTCCATAGCTCCGTTTATGAACACACCTTCATTTCCACTGTCGATCTGTCTTTTGTCATAAACCAAAGCTCAGCGTTTGTATAGTCTGTTTCTGGGCTCCGGATTCTGCACGAATATCACAATGTTTTCATGATCGTCTTTGTAATGGGCAAGAAAAGCCGTCCGTTCTTCCTATTCTTCTAGGAGGATCAGATTAATCCTTTAGCATATGGTTTGATTTCTGTGTGAACGTCACACACATACAGGAGAGTAAAGAGACGTGTGCTCGGAAGGAAACTGATAAGGCAAACACTGGGGAGCACAAGCATCAAGCTGTGGGACAGTGCCTCCCGGCAGCCCCCACCCACCTCAGAAGTAATCACCATTCTGGCTTTTTATGATAATTTCCTTGCTTTTATTTATAGTCTTAACACCTATGTGCTGTATAGTATCCCTGAACGATAGACTTAATTTTTAAAATATACTTTACTGAGGTACCTTTTATGTACAATAAACTACAGTTATTCTATAGCTCACAGTGCTGACAAATACATCGGGAAACTATCCCATCAATCAAGACACAGAACACTTCCAGGAAGTGTCCTTTTGCTGTCATCTCCTTGCTGCCCCGGCCCCAGGCAAACAGGGATCTGCTGTCACTAGGGATGAACTTGTATTTTCTGCCATCTCGTGTACATGGAACTTTGCACTTTGTTACCTCTTGTCTGGCTTCTTGCCCTAAGCACCCTGCTTCTGAGATCTGGCTCTGGTGTTTCATCAGGAGTATGCTTTTCACTGCTGAGTGGTGTCCACTGGACGGAGAGAGCACAGTTTATCTGCTCATCTGCTGTGGATACGGGGCTGTCCCCAGTTTTTGGCTATTACAAGTGAAACTTCTAGAAACATTCATGTAGGAATCTTTGTGTGGATACATGCTCTTATTTCTCTTGGGCAGACAGCCAGGAGTGGAGCTGCTGGACTGAAAGGTGTACATTAAAAAATGTACTAATGGAAAGAGCCCAGATGTCCATCAACAGATGAATGGATAAAGAAGACGTGGTGTGTATATACACAATGGAATACTACTCAGCCATCAGAAAGAATGAAATCTTGCCATTTACATCGATGTGACGGAACTAGAGGGTATTATGCTGAGCAAAATAAGTCAGTCAGGGAAAGACAACTACCATATGATCTCACATGTGGAATTTAAGAAAGGAAACAGGATCACAGGGGAAGGGAAGGAAAAATAAGATGAAATCAGAGAGGGAGACAAACCATAAGAGATGCTGAACTCTAGAAAACAAACCGAGGGTTGCTGGAGGGCAGGTGGCTGGGGGATGGGGTAACTGGGGGATGGGCATGAAGGAGGGCACGTGATGTGATGAGCACTGGGTGTTTTATAACTGATGAATCACTGAACTCTACCTCTGAAACTAATGATACATTTTATGTTAATAATTTTTTTTTAAAAGATTTTATTTATTTATTTGACAGAGAGAGAGATATCGAGAGCAGGAACACAAGCAGGGGGAGTGGGAGAGGGAGAAGCAGACTTCCTGCCGAGCAGGGAGCCCGATGTGGGACTCGATCCCAGGACCCTGGGATCATGACCTGAGCTGAAGGCAGACGCTTAACGACTGAGCCACCCAGGCGCCCCAATAACTGATTTTAAATAAAGTAATTCTTAAAAATGTACTTTGGTTATGTCTAAACTGAGCTTTATATAAACAGTGTATCATGTATATTCTCGTGTTCTGCCTTTTGTCTACTATTCAGTTTGTAAGATCCACATTGCAGACTGCTCTAGTTCGTTCCTTTCCTCGGTTGTATAGCATTCCACATGTGACTGTATCGTCACGTATCTACCCTACACTAATGTGTTTTAAGAACACTCAATTTTACAAAATCCTTCCTGGGTTTTAAAATCTACAGATAAATTTTGGGAAGTGAGATAGCTTTATGATACTCACTTTTCCTATCAATGAATACAGGATCTATTCCAGGTCTTCAATATTCTTCACTCATGCTTCATCCTCTTCTACGCATAGGCTGTGGGCAGCTTCTGTTAGATTTATTCATGGAGACTGCATAGATTCTGGTGCTGTTACAAATACTGTCTTTATTTAAACTACATTTTTAAATTACGGATGGTATAGAGAAACATAACTTCTGTACACTGATCCTACAGCCAGTCCCTTCACTAAAAATTCTTTTTCTTGCTAAATTCTTTTGTAATTCCCTTTGTAGTCAATTAGATCATCTGTAAGTAAAATGGAATTTTATCTCCTGCTTTCCACTCCTTAAGCCTTTAATTTCTTTTCTCTTATAATGCTGCCTAGGAACCACGACTTTAGGCTGAACAGAAGAAGTGGAAACAGAGAGCATCTTTGTTTTGCACATGCTTCCACGCTTCCCGTTTGAGAAACTGTTTCATGTAGATTTCTTTTCTCTGTCTCTTTTGGTAAACCTCCTTTTCAGGTTAAGGATATTTCCTTCTACTATTAGTTTACCATTTTTTTTTTTAATTAATTGAATGCTAACATTTTTATCAAATGTTTTTTCTAAACCTATGGAAATGATCATATGGCTCTTCTTTAATTATCAATTTAGCAAATAGCATTTGTGGATTTCCTAATAGTAAATACTCCTTGCATTCATTCCTAGGGTACACCAGTTTGGTCATATACTGCTTTTAAAAATACTGTTGGATTTGGAATGTGAAATTTTTTTGCACCCAATTAATATTCACGACTGAAACAGATCTGTGATTTTTCATGTTTTCTGTAATCACTTCTAGCAGATTTTGGTATCAAAATCTTCCTTCTCTCATAAAATAAAGTGGGGTGTCTTGTGCTGTCTCCTCCTGTCAATCCTCTGGTAGAAATCAGTAGAAGGCTGGATAATCTCTTAAGTTTTGGGAGAATTCTCAGCACAAATGTCAGAATGTAGTGTCGGGCGCCTGGGTGGCTCAGTTGGTTGGGCGACTGCCTTTGGCTCAGGTCATGATCCTGGAGTCCCGGGATCGAGTTCCGCATCGGGCTCCCTGCTCAGCAGGGAGTCTGCTTCTCCCTCTCCCGCTCCCCCCTCTTGTGCTCTTTCTCTCTCTCACTCTCTCTAATAAATAAATAAAATCTTAAAAAAAAAAAAAAAGAATGTAGTGTCTCCTTGGGATTATTCGCAACCACTACTCTGATTTCTTTGATGGTTACTGGATCCTTCAGGCTATTTTGTCATTGGGTTGATTTTGTGTTTTTTTTTTTTTAAAGATTTTATTTATTTATTCATGAGAGACAGAGAGAGAGAGGCAGAGGGAGAAGCAGACCCCCCGCTGAGCAGGGAGCCCGACGTGGGACTCGATCCCAGGACCCCGGGATCATGACCTGAGCCAAAGGCAGACGCTTAACGACTGAGCCACCCAGGCGCCCGATTTTGATTTGTTTTAAAATTAATTGTGAAGTTGTTCCCAGTGTTCTCTTATGGTTGAATCACTGCAGTACCTGTAGCTCTGTCTTCCTTTTCACTTATATAGTCACAAAACTTTAAACCCTTTTCATTATGGAAGATGTCAAACCCACACAAAAGCAGAGTGTGGTAACATGGGTGCAGCCATGGTCCAACTTTGATCATTATCAACACTCTGGTTCTTTTCCATCTAATTACTGTATTGTTTTGTGTCTTTTTCCCCCTATTTTATCCTGATCAGTCTCTCAAAGGTTTATTTATTTATTTAATATTTTCAAAGAGTCAAAGTTTGGCTTTGTTGATCTCTGTATTTTTCTGTTTCACGATTTCTTTTATACATTATCTCCTTAAACTTCCTTTGGGTTTATTTGTTCTTTCCCTAGTTTCTCAAACAAAATCCTTAACTCATTAATTTTCAGGTTTTTAAAAACTCACTCGGCAGTCTTAAGACTTCACTGAAAGAGCGCTTGAGAACGAACTGTGTCCCCATCCCACAAGTTTTCATATGCAGTGTTTTCCTTCTCTTTTAGTTCCACATATTTTTAAATGTCTACTGTGGTTTCTTGTTGAACCCATGAGTGAAACATACATACTTTCAGATTTCCAAATACTTAGGGACTTAAAAATTTACTTCTTGTAAATTGCCGATTTAAACGTGGTGTGGTCAGAGAACACAATTATACATATTTCTTCTCTGAAACTTCTGAGCCTTGCTTTCTGTGGCCCAGTCCTTGCTTCGCTTCTATGAGCATCCCCTGTGGGCCCAAGACACAGACACCCTGTTCCCTGGACGCACTTTCATCTGTATTCATCTTCCACATCCCTGTGGATGCATGCACTGCTCAAGCAAGCGGCCACACAGACATAGTTGGAGATGTCCTACACAGAGGGTAGATCTGATCCTCTATGCAGCTCAAACTATTTCCTGTTTGTATTTTGAGGCTATTTCACTTAGTACCTAGTTTAAAATTTCTATGTCTTCCTCACACACTGAACCTTTTAGCACTATGTAGCAACCTTTATCTGTCCCTTATATTAATCCATATTCTGTCTGATAATAACATAATTATACACTTCCTCTTTTTTTTTTTTTAAGATTTTATTTATTTATTTGAGAGAGAATGAGAGAGAGCAAGCATATGAGAGGGGGGAGGGTCAGAGGGAGAAGCAGACTCCCTGCCGAGCAGGGAGCCCGATGCAGAACTCGATCCCGGGACTCCAGGATCATGACCTGAGCCGAAGGCAGTCGCTTAACCAACTGAGCCACCCAGGCGCCCAACACTTCCTCTTTACTTCCACCTTTCTATTCACTGTGTTTTAGGTATGTTCTTATAAACAGAGTGTGTGTGTGTGCGCGTGCATGTGTGTAAGCATGTGTGTGTATATATTTAAAATCGTTAACACAATCTGACAAACTTTTTTTCTATCATGGTTGCTGATAAAACTGAACTTGTGTCTCTTGTGTTTTTAAAATTTGTTTACTGTACTTTCTTTACATTTATTTTTTCATTTTGAGTTTTGACTTTTTTCCTTCTACAGATTAGCAATTTATACATCCTATTTCTATTCTTTTAATGCTTACTTGTGAAACTGTATCGCCAATTTAGCTTCAAGTCTGAATATTAAATACCTGTTAAATACCTCAACGAGAAAAGGACGTGAGGATACTCAGCTCTATTTCACACCTAGCTTACATACTATTCTGTTCAATACTGTGGTTCTTTCAGACATAATGTCAGTTAGACATTATTACTATCTTGTTACAAAGAAAATGTTTTATTTAACAACATTTATCAGGCTGTTTCTCTCTCTCCTTCCTGCAAATCACACTGTCTTTCTGAGGTGTCTTTCTCTCTTGAAGATTTTTTTTTTTTTTTTAAACACAGATCTCTTTGGAGCAAGTTCCTATAGTTTTTCTTTACTATGGAAAAGAATAGGTTTGTGGTATACACAGTTACAGACTGACAACTTTCTCTCAACGCTGTAAATATCACCCCATGGTCTTCTGGTTTCACATTTGCTATGCTGAAGAATGGATTTTTGTTTGTTTATTCCATTCGTATATGTTGTGCTTCTGAATTTGTAGATTTGGGTTTCTCATTAGCTCTGCAAAATCCTCAGGTGCTGTATCTCTTCAAATACAGCTTTTCTGTAGCCTTCACATTCTCCTAGGGGGGCTCCAGTTAAATGTATGTCAGACTCAGTCTTTCCTCCATGTGTCTGAGCCTCTTTCCTCTTTTCTAATTTCCTTGTATGTGGGTGCATTCTGAGTACATCTTTCAGATAGTTCTTCCAGTTCACAAATTCCCTCTTCAGCAGTGTCTAATCTATTTATCATGTATCTATTAACATCTTGATTTTACTCATTACATTTTTCATTTCTAGATGTTTCTTTTCCCCAGGTCTTGGGTGTTTGGGATAATCTTTGTTTATAAGGTCATGCATGATTTTAAAGTATATGAGTCCTATAGGTCTACCTTGGGAAAATCTCTCTCCAAAGTTCTGCCTTTATCCAAAAAATGCTCCCTAGAATCCAGCTTCAAGGCAAACTGTCTTAGTAACTCAAGTGATATGCTTACAGATTCTTTGTACAAACACACTTCCGTCACAGAGAATGTGTGAGGAAGACAATTCTGAGAATTGTCTGCGAATGACAATTCTATTTCTTCCTTCTGATCCTTGTCCCTTTGTTTCTTCTTACACCTTCACAAACAGAAGTTGTAACACTGGGCATCCTTATCTTCTTTTGTCTTTTTTAATCTCAAGGGACAGCTTTTATTTTATTTTATTTTAAGATTTTATTTATTTGCGAGACAGAGAATGAGAGACAGAGAACACGAGAGGGAGGAGGGTCAGAGGGAGAAGCAGATTCCCTGCCGAGCAGGGAGCCTGATGTGGGACTCGATCCCGGGACTCCAGGAACATGACCTGAGCCGAAGGCAGTTGCTTAACCAACTGAGCCACCCAGGCGCCCACAAGGGACAGCTTTTAATGTTTCACTGTAACTATGCCATTTATTGTATTTTATGGATACCCTTTATTATGTTAAGGATATGCCTATCTAGTCCTATGTATGAGTTTTTATTAGAATGGACGTCCAACTTTAGCAAATGCTTTACTCTGCCTGCTAAAATGAGATATATACACACACATGCACACATACATAAATTATATAATAAACATAACTTCCAGAATAATTTAGAATTCTATCATATTTCATTTATTTTTATCTTTCATTTTTTTTAAGGAGGCTCTGTGCTGGGCGTGGAGCCCAATGCGGGGCTTGAACTCCTGACCTCGAGATCAAGACCTTAGCTGAGATCAAGAGTCAGACGCTTAACCGACTGAGCCACCCAGATGCCCCTACAATATTTCAGATAGGAGTTAATGACTTTTTGCACTGCAATCTACCTGCTCCTTTTGTGTGTGTATGTGTGTATTATCTGAAACAAACAGGTTAAAGAAGGAACAAGAAACTTTAAAATGAAATTTGCTTGCCATAATTCACAAAGTAGATAAAATACTATTGAACACAGTACTAATGAAATCTGCTTATCGGGAAAACTGAGCGAATCTCTAAAATGTTACTTTTCTCCCCAAAAGCATGCCATATCAGTGTGTTCCAATGTCAAGCACACATGAGGATGACCAGGGACGCTTGTGACAACACAGATGTTGGGTCCCTCCCAAGAGTAATTCAGCAGGTCTGGGGAGGGGCCTGCTCCCTGATGCTGCTGGTCTGGAGCCACGGTCCTCAACCGGTCTTCACACAGAGGGGTGGGGAGAGGTGACTGGGTGTGAGGGTGAGTGAGGAGGCCCGTGTGTGTGCTAGGACTGTGGGGGGATGTGTGTGACAGGCCCCTCGGCTAGCTGACAGAACTCGTGTCCATGACAGCAGCAATGCCGGGGGGGTCAGGAGGGTCATGTCTGGCAGCCGTGAAACCATCATCATTTCAGACTCAAAGCCCTAACATTTACCTTTTGAAATACTCCACTTCCCTCTCTGTCTCATCCATATCCACGCTGTCTAGGTCGATATCTTTAGGCAGAAAAACATCATCTGTAAAATGAAAGAGAAGAGGAAAGTCAGATTACAAGAGAACAGATTACCTGGCTTTACTTAATTTTAATAACTTCACAAACTGAAAATTTTCTCTAAAATGAGACTTTACAAACAGCCAAAGGAGGGCAGAGGTCTCTCATGTGCTTGTGAACTTCCACGTTCAACCTGGAAATTACGGAACTCACAGGTTTGCTGAGCAAAGCAACTGTGGCTCCAGGTCCCACGAGAAGAGCTCCATTGGCTGGCACCCAGATTCCCCAAGTGACTGGTCTTTTTTTTTTAAAGATTTCTTTATTTATTTGTCAGAGAGGGACACAGCAAGAGAGGGAACACAAGCAGGGGGAGCGGGAGAGGGAGAAGCAGGCTCTCTGCGGAGCAGGGAGCCCAATGCGGGTCTCGATCCCAGAACCCTGGGATCACGACCTGAGCCGAAGGCAGACGCTTAACGACTGAGCCACGCAGGCGCCCCGTGACTGGTCTTTACCTGATACATTTCCGTGATGGGAGGGCCCTTGAGAAGACTCCCTGAAACCTAAGGTGCTTGCAAGCCCAGGGTCTGTCCTAAGTCCCTACAGGAGGGCAGGAAGCAGTGGGGGCATGCTAGTGAACAGAAGCCCAGAAGGCAGCCCCACGGGGAGGCGAATGCTGTCCCTTGCAAGTGCCCCTCATGGCAAGAGGACACGACTGACTGTACCGGGGACCCCGACATCAACCTCTACTGGAAGACGGCTCTCCCAGACATTCAGTTTATACGTGCAACATCCCAGAGACATCATCAAACACTTTTCAGGCTGTTCCAATAAAAAAGCAAGGCTGTATTTCACTTTGCAGTTAAATCACCTTCTTTGAAAACAGGCAGGATGGCAGGGAGAATGATGATTCAGGATTATTCCAACTCCTTGAATCTCAGCAAGTTTGAGGGGTTCGACTTCGTGCTTCTTCTCTGCCCGCCCTGTTACAACCCGTGGGATCCTGGGCACTGCCTGGGCCCTGGGCACCAGAGGCTACGTCAGCGCACAGCTGGGCTGCTAGGAGGGCTGGCGGCGCACACGCAACACCTGCCCCATCCTCAAAGGAAGGTACAGAGTCCCCACTTCCCTGCAGACTTTAGCATGGGATAATTTTTTGTCCTCTATAGAAAACAAAGACACACCTTTGTTCCTTTCACTGGGGCACTTTGACAGTGGCATAAGCCATGCTTCAGCTGTAATGGCAGCTGACGTTTTGCTGACTTAGACCACCAGGCAGAGTGCCTTCACACCTGCGAACTCACAGAAATGTCTGTGAAGAGCTTCCCGTAGGGACCTGCATGACCACAGCCCCTCCCAGCCACCCTCTGCCGGCACCCAGAGCTCCCCGCGCCCAGCTTTCCTCCTCTGCACTACCCCCGCCCCCACCATCCCCTCCTTCCATGGGGACACGGACGCCATCAAACCTCCCCCACTGCCCCAGACCGCTTTTGTGAGTTGCATGTCCCTGCAGCTGGCTCCTCTACAGGCACCTTCAGGCATCTGCCCCCCAGTATGGTCTGCTGTGAGCCTGCTCTGTTTCTGACGGGGAACCTCAGCCCCGCCTCACTCTCACGTCACGGCTTCTACGGGCCCGGCAAGTTCTCTGTGAACAGTCTGGGACCGCCCCCCCCAACAGTCTCTACCCAGTGCTGCTGCATCAGGGCTGGCCTTCACCAGCCTCCCAGCCGGGCTCCACCCTGCCCAACCCAGCCAGTGCAGACTCATCCTCACGACACATGCAGTCACAGCTGCCCTGCGTCCATGGCCCAATCCATTCCTCCCTGGCCACCAAGACTATTCCGACTGGGCCTCCGTCTACATGTCCACTTGCAGACCTCGCCTGCCTGCCGACTAGACTTGCCGAGGCCCGGTTCAAAGAAATGCTGGTGTATGAGGAAGGGCGACATGGGGCAGGAGTGTTTAGAGATGTACTGAAAGTGAAGTCTAGGAGAGCGAGTCTCTGATCAACAGTCCTTCCATTAACAGTTCTGGGAGAGGAACAATGACAAAAGCCAATAAGCAGGTATGTCTGCTGGAAAAGCTGTCCTCGAAAGCAATTTCTAATCTTCTTTTCTTCTGATCAGAATTAATAATCACTACTGAACATCTTGGTATAAGAAAAAAAAAGCGACAGAACCATAACCAGATTCAGTACCAGGAAGACATTTTTCACAACAGCAAAGCTACATTAATCAGAGTGGAAAGTGTGACCCAGCCAGGCCAGGCTTCTGTACATCATTAAGACTGTAGGAAACATCTTGCTTTGCCAGAGCTCAGAGAATTCCATACCCCTGACCCCTACTTGAGGACATGCGCCTAAGGGTGAGCATCATCCAACCGGAAGAGGACAGGAAACACCTCACAGGAGGACCAACACCAGCATGGGATGTAGTCAGATGGAGACCTATAAACACCGTGTGTCTGACATAGCGGAAATAACGCAGCTGGGAAATGGAAGAAAAGGGACTGCAAAAGGCGGGGAGTGAAAAGGATGGAAGCAGCTCACGGACCATTGTCCAGGCAGTAAGTGGTGTCAGAGAAGCTGCCCTGAAGCCAGCTGTGGAAGGTAAGCAAGGAAACCAACGACGGACGGGCACCAACGGTAGAAGTGTGGAGGGATGCACGCAGACAAGATCGCCGACTTGCTTAAACACCAATGATTTTCTTTTTTTTTTTAATTTAAAGATTTTTATTTATTTATTTGACAGAGAGAGACACAGCAAGAGAGGGAACACAAGCAGGGTGAGTGAGAGAAGGAGAAGCAGGCCTCCCGCTGAGCAGGGAGCCTGATGTGGGGCTTGATCCCAGGACCCTGGGATCATGACCTGAGCCGAAGGCAGACGCTTAATGACTGAGCCACCCAGGCGCCCCAACACCAATGATTTTCAAAAATAAAAGCTAAGAAAAAAAAAATCACATAGAAAAAGAAACAGCAAATATAAAATATACAGAGCAATTATAAAATGTCGTCGGAGCTGAGACAAAGCACATAGTAATATATGCAAATGGGGCTTAAATCACCTCCAGATAAGATTTTCCATTTGGCTCACAAAGCAAGATACAAGATTTGTGCTGTCTGAAATCAGAGAACGAGCTAACACTGAGGGACTCAGGGATGAGAGCAGAAGTGTCCCGCCAGGCGAATGGAGACACAAAGAGCGAAGGGGCAGCGATCACCATCTTAGACAAAGTAGAATTCAAGGCAAAAGCACAACAAAAGGACATTTTTTAGTACTAAAACCCACAATTCACTAAAAAGATATTACAGTTAGAATGTGCACCAAATACAAACACCATCTTTATAAAGCAAAATTGCAAGAGAGATAAGAAAACCTAGAAACTCATTAATAATAAATAACAGAAGACAGGGGCGCCTGGGTGGCTATGTCATTGAGTGTCTGCCTTCAGCTTGGGTCGTGATCCCGGGGTCCTGGGATTGAGCCCCGCATCGGGCTCCCTGCTCGACGGGAAGCCTGCTTCTCCCTCTCCCACTCCCCCTGCTGTGTTCCCTCTCTCGCTGTGTCTCTCTCTGTCAAATAAATAAAATCTTTAAAAATAAATAAATAAATAAATAAATAAAATAACTAACTAACAGAAGACAGGTCACGAGGACAAAAAACCAGGAAGGAAACAGAAGACCTAACCCTGACTATTATTGATCAATACATCATGAAGATATATACATTCAATTTTCACCATGATAACAGAAAAAAATACTTTTATCTCAAGTGTATACAGGGCAGTTACAAAACCTGGTCACAAGGAAAATATCAGTAAATTCCATAAAGCAGAAATATTATGAATAATATTCTCTGATCGCAATGCAGAAAACCTAGAAATTATTAACATAAAAAAGGATTTTCCAGGGGAACGTGAGTGGCTCAGTCCGTGAGGCGTCTGACCCTGGCTCAGGTCATGATCCCAGGATTCTGGGATCAAGCCCAGTATTAGGTTCCCTGCTCAACAGGTAATCTGCTTCTCCTTCTCGCTCTGCCACCCACCCCCCGTTTGTTTACTCTCTCAAATAAATAAAATCTTAAAAAAAAAAAAAAAGTCTCTTCTACCTGGAAACCCAAAAGCCACCTATTAAACTACTGGGTGAAGGAGGGGATAAAAACAAAGAAATTCCTGAATTTCTTAAAACAAAATGCCAATAAACATTATCAGACTATGAAATATATTTAAAGGAATGATCAGAGGAAAATCTGAAATGCTAAATACTTCGATCAATAAAAATGGTGGAATGAAAACAAATGAGCTAAATTCCCAAATCAAGAAGTTAGAAAATAAACAACAAAGTAAAAGAAAGCACGGGAAGAAAATAAAGATAAAAGCAGAAATTGATGAGATATTAGAAAGAACAACAGTAAACCTAGCTAATAAATAGCCTGTTTTTTTAAAAAAAAAAAATGTGAATAAAATAGACAAACTTTTTTTTTTTTAAGTGGGCTCCACACCCAATGTGGGGCTTGAACTCACAACCCTGAGATCAAGAGTCACATGCCCCACTCACTGATCCACTCGGGCATCCTCAAAATAAGTGACAAGCTATTAATTAGCTGAATGAAACAGAACGGGGAGAAAACACAAATACACAAAATAAGAAATGGGGGGGAGGAGGAGGAGCAAGATGGCAGAGGAGTAGGAGACCTAAATTTTGTCTGGTCCCAGGAATTCAGCTGGATAGGGATCAAACCATTCTGAACACCTACAAACTCAACAGGAGATCAAAGAAAAGAGTAGCAACAACTCTCTGAACAGAAAAGCGACCACTTTCTGGAAGGTAGGACGTGCGGAGAAGTGAATCCGAGGCGATATTCGGGAGGATAGACGGTGGGGGACGGGGCCTCTGTCGGCTGCTTCTGGCAAGTGATAGAGCTGCGGAACACAAAGTCAGAACTTTTAGAAGTCTGCTCCGCTGCGGGACGTCACTCTGGTGGCTAAGCGGGGGGTGGAACCCTCGTGGGACAGTGTGGTCTCAGGACC